TACTAGCTTACCCGTCGCGCATTGCTGCGATCTCAGAAGAAAGGAAATTCAAGCAAACTCGTTATGATAAAATTCAATTTACATTTTATCATTTTTATTGAAACTTATTATTATTATTCATTTTCATCGGGAAAACATTTCAAAGTGTCGTTTCAATTCTATTTATTTATTGGAGTGTTTGTGGATACACGATATTTTTTGTTTTTCCGTCTGGTGCGTACACGAATAAATCGGAAGGTTTTCCGACGCGTGAGCCGGCCACATACACTTGTCCATGCGAGAAGCACGGATTCTCCAAATTTAGCCCATACACTCTCAGCGATTGTCAGAAGTGCGATATTCCCCATTTATATATATATATATATATTTTAAAACTTTAAAGTATGTTTTTAAAATCTTGATAATTATTTCAATAGTGAAATCTATTTAAATCCACCGTGTTAACTTCGACAGTTTAAATCCACTTAACAGTTTAATAAAAAAAAAAAAAAAAACCGAATGAATGACGAGGTTATAACTCACCATGCCATCTGGTGCCTAAAAATAAAACTGATATCGAAACATAGAAAGAGTTCGAGGATATTCTAATTCTCTCAACGATCCCGTAATTCGAGAAAAAAAATGCAATTTCCTGTTTTTGATTCGCTTGTAATTTTGTAAAAACGAAGACAGTTTATAAACCTTCATTAAATTACAAATATTTTTATAGAAATTTTATTTAAAAAAAAAATATTCTCTTATTCGATAATTTCATGGTTTAACATTAAAGCCTTTTATTATCCATTGCGTTTTCTTTAAATTGTTACTGTAACGATTTAATAATAATTTTTGGGTTGTTTTATACTTGGAAAATTAAATTTTGATGGATAGAAATAACGAATTTATATGTTTTAATATTGCGACGGTTATAATGTGTTTACTATTATTTACTGTGCTGTCGTAGCCAACGCTACATAACGTGACAAAAGGTCATTTACTGCTATCACGATCGATTCTTGATGATGTTATTAAAACGACAACGAATCGAATTTATTTCCTGTCCCCGTGACGATAGGAAAAAAAAAAATTGATGCATTCGATCGAGGCAACGTTAACGTGATCGATGCCATGCCATTACTTATAATTTTTTTTAAATTTTATCTATTTTAAAAATATATATATATATCCACTTAAGTAAGTTTATATATAATTTTAATAATTTAAAAATTTAAATATATATATATATACAAACGCATATATTCAATGATTATTATTTATTTATTTTTTTTTTTATAAATAAAATGTAAATATGGCGTTCTCTCGTGACAGCCATTTTTGAATTGACGGATCACGTGATGAAAAGGTTTATGAATTTCGTAGTGGTTGGAGATTCTTATTTTTGATTTGATTTTATATTTTTCAATAAAGGACCTTACTAGAGTAGAAAATTGAGTCCACCAATCTCGTACTTTTTTTTTTTCTAAAGAAGTCACCAATCTAGTATAAGCCGATCATAACGGCAATTGAGTCTTTTATTGGATCTATGGTGTTTTTTTGAAATATCCCGGATGTAGGGATTTGACGTAAAAATGGCGGGAAGAAAAGTTATTTGTCATCATCTCGATTTGACAGTCGACAGATTGGACAGATTGTCGGCTTCCTGCATCCTCCGGGATGCTTTGACAGATGGTTCTATGTCTGAATTCCAACCTTTAGAGCCGACTAGGCGTCGTCGTTCGAATTAAAATGACGTTCTATGATATACGAGACCGTTTAACGTTTAGAAAAACTCGAGTAGTCCGACATTTTCGTTTACTGACCCGACATTTATAAATGCAAACTCCATATCGCTTGCAAATTGTGTGGACTTCGTGCTGAATTTTTTTAACTCTTATTGGCATCTTACGTGGGACGAGTGCCTCTTAATTGCACGTTTTTAAATTATGATCATGGATCCTTTAAAAAAAATAATTATTATTCATAAAAAGAAGGAGATTCGTCTCTTAATCACGGGTTAATTAATCCTGGAATTAACTGTAAGAAGAATATATGCTAGATTTTTGGATGTCCTTTGAAACATTTCTTTTTTTAATGAATTAATACGAGGACTTCATTATAAAATATCCGAATTTAAAGGTTTATTTAATGATATAAATGAACTTATGATTTATTCTATTATTTATTCTTAACATCTCTTTAAGTTTAGCAAGAGTGTAAACGGTTTCTATTTTGAGGATCGGATCATTTTTTGGTAAATTGATAATTATTTATGCATAATAAACAATTTTGTCAATTAATCAGCGATTTTAGTGTTATAAAAATAAAGAACCATATAATTTATAAGAATTATTAAACTGTAAAGATTTTCCCTTTCAGTTTATTAAAAATTTATGCAAATAATATTTTAAAAAATGGATTTTTTTGTAATAATTTTTTTGTGATAAATAATTCTTAATTAATTTCAGTAAGCACTAAATTTGTTTATTACTATAATTAATAACTACATTAATTTTACTTAGTGCGTCATTTGTTCTCCTTGATTTCTCCTCCTAAAATCATTGTTTGTATGCTTTCAGGTGTACAAATTGCAAAACTTTGAGTACTAAATTCTTAAACTGAAAAATATTTTTAAATTTCCAACATTTTAAAACATAATAATCGTTTTATTATAGTCTTTCAAGAGAAATCTGTTAACTTAACGGTATATTACAACGATTGTGTAAGAGATAATGCGATAAAATCTTCTTGATCCTATCTAAAACCAAATTGATAAAAGATCTATTAAACAAGCTCGGTTAGAGCTTATTTACGGGTCCCTTAAAATCAGGTTTTTGGTTTCTCTCGGTTTAAGGTCAGATTGACTGCATGAGCGTCAAAAATGTGTGTAGCAATATTTTCGTAGCAAACTGTGAATAGTATATCCCGCCTAGAATTACTCAGTTGGATGGAGTCGCCTTTCTCAAATGCACCGTCCTTTCCCATGTCAGACTAACTGGCTGCACGTGGGGGAGGAGAGTAGAGAGGGCAGGTGTCGGCCTTCTTTAGCTTTCTAGAATGTCCGACGCCCGGACGTGTGAAAACATTTCTCGAACGTTAGTAGAAGGAAAGACGTTTGTGAGTCGATCTCTCTCTCCCCTCGGTTCCATTTAACTCGTTTACAAAAGAAAAGTTTTATTCTGCTTTCAAAGAGAATCGTTCTCTGTCTCCCTAGGCCTATTCCTATCCAGGTATGTGATGTGTTCAATGCAAGCCTGTGAATGGAGCTTTGTAGGATTGTACGGACAATGAAACCCAGTTAGGTACAAAAAAGGAATGCACTATGAGGGCATATGTTTAAGTTAGGGTCCGAGGAACCTATTAGAACGTAATGAATAACCTCGATCAGTCAAGTGAACTTGAATCTATAGGCTTTATGCAATCTTGTTTTTTTCTCTTTTTAAGGCCATTCTTGTAAAGACAGAATTCGAAGAACGTTCAAAAATGAAAAATTCCGAATAAAATTGCCCATTCATCTAGTGTAACACCGGCTAATTCAATTTTCGTTTAGGGCATTTTATTACGAAAGCTCTCCACCAACTACTCGTAAGATTTCAAAGGTAGGCGAATTTCAAAAATTCCCACGTTCGGGGAGCAGAGAGGGCTAAATAAGAATTTCATACATAATTTTTTGGCGCCAGAGATGTTAACATATACAGTTACCTGGTAGACGAGCACGTTTATTTGTAACGCTATACTCTTAGTATTTTGAGCAACATAACACCTTTGCTACCAACAAGGCGCCTATGTGGAGTCGCTATTCATTATACGGTTCAATAAACAAATTTGTTTAGAATCAACAAAACAAAAATAAATAAATAAATAAATAAAACTAAGTTTTATCGAGTGTAACGCATAAAACTCGAATATATTTAGCATGACTTTCTGAAAATTACAAAAATCAAAGTTGATTATTCCAAATGACATTTTCCCATTTAC